GAAGAGCAGAAAGAGGAGTTGTTGATTCTGTTTTAATTAGTGAGAATTAGAAAGGATATAAATTAGTAAAAGTAAAAGTTAGATCATTAAGAATTCCATAAATTGGTGATAAATTTTGTAGTAGACATGGATAAAAAGGTACTTGTGGAATGACTTACAGATAAGAAGATTTACCATACACTCTTGTAGGTATATCTCCAGATTTAACTATTAATCCACATTGTATTCCATCAAGAATGACAATAGGTAAAATTATTTTATTATTTTTTAGGACATTTAATTGAATGTTTATCATCAAAATTAGCTTCTATAAAAGGATAATTTAATGATGCTACACCATTTGCATAAATATTAGTCAATAATATTGCTAAAGAATTACATTCAGTTGGATGGTAAAAATGGGGTAATGAAGTTATGACTAATCCATATACTGGTAATATGTTTTCAATTCCTATTTTTGTTGGACCTACTTATTATTAGAGATTAAGACATTTAGTAGATGATAAAATGTATGCTAGATCAAGAGGACCTGTAACTGGAATTACAAGATAACCAACTCATGGTAGAAGTAGAAAGGGAGGATTAAGATTTGGTGAAATGGAAAGAGATTGTATAATTTCTCATGGTAAATTTAATAAATATATATTATTATAGGTACTGCTAAATTTTTAAAAGAAAGAACATATGATGTATCAGATGCATTCAGAGTTCATGTTTGTTCTAAATGTGGATTGTTTGCTGTTGCTAATTTAGAAAATTAAGAATTTTATTGTAATATTTGCAAAAATACAAATAATTAAATTTATTAAGTTCTAATGCCTTATGCAGCAAAGACATTAATTTAAGAATTGATTTCAATGAATATTGCTCCAAGATTGAAGTTTGATTAATCTAAATTGAAACATGAAATTTGATATATTATTTAGATAAATTGATATATAATCAATTATGTTTTAGTAGTTGAAATATTTAATTAACATTTATAGGCTTTTATAGATACCCATCAAATAATGATAATTAAGATATTTCATTTTTAGAATGAGCTGAACATGCTATGATGCGTGTATCCACTCTCTCTCTAATCATAGATACAGCTTAATAACCATTAATGATTGGCATTTCAATATCCATCAATATATACTAATATGTTGAATGTAGATTGCATCCATTATATGCATCAATTTTAGCGATTGCCTCCTTCACAGAGTATGCCTTAAAAAATACTTTAAATTCATAATGAATACTTTGTCTATTATTATATCATATTGTTTTAGCTAGTTCTCAATAATTGAAATATTAAAAGGCATATCATCCACAATTAATATTTGTACACATTAACACATACTAATATTACTAGGAGATTAAACCATTTCATTATATTTACACATCTAAGGTATATTTCTTAATTAATTCACAATCCCTTCATTATCATCATCATATAATATACAAACACTATCATCTATTTCTCTTTTATTAAGAATCTTAAAAGAAAATGTCGATCCCTGATTCTCCCCATCTGAATATACTTTAATCTCTTATCCTAATTTCTAAGCCAATATATTTGATATCATCAATCCCAAACCAACTCCTGTTATATTATCACTATTTTCCAACCTACCAAATGCAGTAAATAATTTATTTTATTCATTTTTTGGTATCCCTATTCCAGTATCCTTTACTTTAATTTCAACACAATCTTCATCTGAATCTAAATTAATAGTAATCCCTCCTGTTTCTGTAAATTTAATGGCATTTGATAATAAATTTAAAATAATTTATTTAACTCTATTTGGATCTGTTGTTATTTATTAAGGAACATGTTTCTACTATTCTAATTTCATATAAAGTCCTTTAGAATTAGCTTATATTTTCATTATCTCAATTATTTCATTTATTAATTCAGTTATCTTTACTTATTAAAATTATAAATTAAATTTTCCAGCTTTTAACTATGCTACATCCAATAGATCATTCACTAAACTTAATAATGATGAAGCCATTGATTTTATTGGTTGCATTTATTTTTCTAACTACTTTATACATTATTCGTTTGCGTTATGATTAGGGTTTAACACATTACCAACACTTTGAATAATAATGTTTAAAGGTGTTTTGAATTCATGTGCTATCTTATATAACATTTGAGATTTATTAAAATTTGTTTTTTCTAAAGCAGCTATTTAATTAACATGAGTTATGTCTCTTATTATAAATAAAATAAATCCTTTACTATATGCAATGTAAGGTTTCAAGATCACTTAAAATATCTTTTACATCTCTCCTTAACATATTATGCTGATATCTTAAAAGAACTTTAATGTAAATGAATTTAAATCACATTTAGGTTCTCTTTCCAACATTTATTTAAAAATTTACTTAACTTCATCAATGATTATTGGAGATTATGACAAATTATTATAATGTTATTCATTGTCTTAATTATTTTAATCTTCTTCTTCCTAATCAACAGAGCTCTTTAATTATATGTAATCTGATTTTTCATTACCTAAGCTTTTTGATCTAGATTTCAACTTTTTATATAAAATCAAAAACAATTATTAATAATTATCTTATTCTGAATTAATTGCATTTCTTAGAGTTAATAATTTCTATTTTGCAACATCAACAAAGGTTTCATTCATTAAACTTCTAAATGCTGAATTACTAAATTAAATATTATATTATTCATCTAATATTAAAACTCCATCAGGAAATGCTGTTAATAATTTTTTAAATAAATTGTATTCTGTTTGTTCAAATTCTTTGTTCGGTGATTATTAACCAATTTCCAAAACATTTTATTTATATTATATTGAATCCCTTTTTGTTATCATGCTGACAATTTCAGATTTTGATGTTTCTTTGATTTTAGATTTATTTTTATAATGATTGTATAATAAATATGCTGCACTTGTTGATAGGAATGCCAATATTTCACAAATTGTGATAATATCAATTTTTAAACTTATCACTATGATACCAATTGCGCTGATAAAACATGTCCACCATGATTTCATTGCCATAATTATTGAACAACCTACAGCCACATACATTATAGGTGATTATAATAACATAGCATTCAAAACCATTATTATTATTGTGCTCACATTGATGATTGAAAATATCAAATTATTTTCTTTTAACAATCTAGTTGACAATATTCCAGCTGATAAACATATCATAGCAATCGAATAATCAGAACTACCTACAAAACTCATATATAACACATGATCCAATATTCCAAACACCAAAAGATTTCTCATTCTTTTTAAACCTATTAAACTATATTATAATAATCTTATAAACTTTATATTATTAACATATATGATATATCATTAATGTATATATTAATGTTTCATTATTATATAGATCAATTTTGTTATATTTTGTTTTGAATTATTAGTGATATTTTATTTAATTGTTGTTATTAAGTTTAGAATATATTTTTATTTATTTTCATATTGATTAATACTTTGTGTTATAATATTAATTAGATGAATGTTTACAAAATGAGATTACTCTCAAATAAATTCAAATTAATTTTGGCTATGTTTATAGTCTTCTTAGCCTTAATTACTAAAATGTAAATATCTAATAATATATTCAATTTTTTTAACACTAAGACCTAATTAGATAATTAAATATTCTAGATGTTTAATATTTTACCATTTTGATATTTTTATTTCTACTCTAACTTTGTTCTATCTTGAAAATAATAATTCATGATCGTCCCTACTTTAAGAAATATGTTATAGCATCAATTGCTACTCTTTATTTTAAGGTATTTATTCAAAAATTTAGGAATTTCAATCGATATCAAATGAAAGATCAGGCAAGATTTTTGGTATAGATATTTTTGTTATTAAATTCACATCAGAATAATTGAAGAATAAACATCAATTAAGTACTCAGTGAGCATGAAATTCTCCTTTAAATTAAGTTTAAGGATTATATAAAATAATAGGAAAATTTCTTTAAGAAACCCATTTTATCATTAAAAATTAAGATTTATTCGTTTTATTTAATTCCTTAACATTATTAATGTTTTTTTTATATAACAAGAAATTTTTGGTTTTTCAAATGTTATCAAAAAAAATTAGTTTTATTTACAATCATTTTTGTTTGCCAAAGAAATGAAAATTGTTGATAAAATTCTAATTAAGTTATAGGAATAAACCATAAGTCTTTAAAATTTCAAATATATTTTGTTTAACTTCACCCAAAAAAATATAGAAATATTTTGAACATGCTTAACTTATTAAAGAATTGTAAATATTCATATTATGTGTCAATTATTAATTTGATTTTTTAGTTTAAAATATCAGGAATAATAATTACTGAGATTTGAAACTCACATTATAAGACAGAATTATTTAAATAAACAAGATTAATTAAAAGAGATTATATAGATAAATTGAGGAAGCTGATAAATTTAAAAAATAGAAAGATAGATAAGTGCAATATGGAAAACCTTCTCTTAATCTCAATTAAAAATTAGAAATGCTGCTCTATTTATGAGTATCCTCCATAAAATATTTACATTTGAATAAAATAAAAATAAATCAATCAAATAACACTCTTTTATCTCCTTCATAATTTGCTTTATAATAGAGTAATAATTTTCTGTATGCTAGACTATTATTGATCTTATTTGATTAGACCATCCTTTTACTAGGAAATCAGGTATTTTTTCAAAAAATAACAATGAGCACAATATCTGTGAAAATTTTTAAATTGGAATTAGATATATAACTGCTCCCTGATAATAATCTTTGTAAACTATAGAATTCATCCATAAATTATAGTAGAAGAAATCGAATCCTTATTTTATTTTAATTTGGAGTTTTTCTATTGAATTTGAAAAAATAACATTATAAAAGAAATAAGAATTTTGCTCTAACATCACAATAAATTTCATACATGTCCTTAATGTGAATTCAATGTTTGTTTTCAATTAGACATTTTTAAAATTCAATCTGAAATTGATACTGCTGTCTAAATCATAGCCTCTTAATGTGGCAATAGGAATTACTTTATAATTTTCTAAACCTTATGGTAGATTAATTGACATTATAAGTTTAATTGAACCTGAATCTCTTGAAAAAAGGGGATGATTTAGTACATTTTTTAATGATTACTTAGAAGATGCCCATAATGTTTAAGTGGTACCAAGAAGAACATTAAAACTTAAAAATTTAATTTATGATAACTAATATGTTTTTTGCTAAATCTGTAATAGTCTATGTAGTGATTAAATCAAAAAAATGTTAAAAATTAGAAAAAATTTACTATAAACTTAACGATTAAATTAGAATGAATTTGTTTTACTCCAATAATTCCTTAAGTAACATCCTTTAAGTTATGTTCAATCGTGAATGATACTGTTCTTTCTCCAGAACCTATTTTTAGGTTTTTAACATCCCATGTATGGTAAATGATTACTCATAATCAAGAATAAGAAATTGAAAACCAGTAAAATTATATTGAATGAAGAGCTTATGGTTTTAATGCTATAGCTTGAATTTTGAATCCTAAAAAGTAATCAGTATGTAAAATTAGCTGTGTTGTTATAAATCTAACTTTTTCAATAAATCAATTCTACTCTCCTGCAATCCAATCAATATGTAAAGTTTGAATAAAGACACAAGGAATACTTTCAAAAATATTAGAGAATTGCACATATACAATTATTTATCTTGGAATGATTGATTGTGTTTCTAAGATGTGTCCACTTCCATACATCATTATGATTTCAATCAGGTTTCAAACTAGGGGAATTTTAAATTGAATGCCAATTAATATAGCAGAGATAAAGCGATTAATTTCATCATAATATATCTATAGAAGAAAATATATCATAGATTTCAATTATAATAAATGAAAAATTAAAAAATTGATAATCTAAATTTAATGGGGATGGTTACGAATGAATATTCTCTGATTTTTAAAAAGAATGTTTTATTGATATTATTTAGCATTCAAATTAGCTAAAGCATTAGATATATCGGATCTTAATATTTAAATTAAGGAAATAATATTAAATGTTTACATTAATAAATTTATATCAATAGAAAAAAATAAAATAAAATTAATCATATTTTCTTTATGAATTTATATTGATAATAATTCTTAGAATACTTTTTCTTTGTATTAATATTATGATATTTTATTCATCTAAAATTATATTGTAAATGAATATTGTAGACTCTTCGATTATTTTAACTTAATTTAATACAGAATTTTTTCAATTATAATTATAATTCATTTGTTATGATTAATAATGCAATTTTATATTGATAGATTTTTCAAAATCATTATTTATATTATAATAAATGATTAATTATATTATTAAATTATAATACAATGATATTTTGATAATTAATTATTTTTGTTTAATCATGCTTTTGTAGACGTTTTCATAAAATCATTTTTGAAGAAATGTAAAAGAGTGGTTAATGAAAGTCGGTTGATTGTTTAAGGAAATTCATTTACATTACTCTAATAATGCTCTGGATAATAATGCAATATTGTAAACATTAATGATCTCTTAACTGCATAAATAACAATTTTGGAAAATGATATGGGATGATACTATAAATAATCTTCATTTGTATAAAATCTACTGCATTGTAATCTTAATGACCATAGTTTTCTAAGATTTTTAGGAAAATGATAAATAGTAAAGACTTTTATGACAAAAAATAATGTAAATGAAACTGCAAAATTAATAGTGAATTATTATTGGAAGCAAATAATAGTCATCTGATCTATTTAAAATCTAATACTCTCATGTCGATATATCATCAAAGATTTAAAAAATTTATGTTATAGAATTAAATAAAATAATATTATAGTCTGATGCAAAATATTACCTATCCTTAAAATGGAAGCATAAAGAGATTTATAGAAACTAATATTAAATAATAATTAATTGAATTTTATTGTATGAATTTATAAAGAAGACAACTTCAATTGATAGCTCATAGAAATATATGAGTAGGTCTCATAAAAAAAAGAATTTTATATTAAGAAATTAAAGAATGAATATTTGATACGAATTTGATTGAGAATCTTATGATAACTTAATAATGTATTTAGTTAATTGATTTTGGGACCATCTTATTATTAAAAAAAATTATGTTATTAAAGTAGAATCTGGTATCAAATTATGAAGAAAATCAATTGCTTTATAAAAATTGCTTCTTTTTTAAGGGCTCTTTTTGTAATAATTTATCCATTAATGTCTTTGAAGCAAGTCGACTGAAAATTTAGTTTTAATTAGTTTAATAAATAAATTATATAGATATAATTTGACTACGAATTAGATAATCTATATTTTCTTATAACTTTAGAATTCAATAAAATTATACTTTTATTTCTGTAGAGAGAATATTAATTAAATTAATATTTTTTTATTTCTTTATCTAAATTAGTTCAAAGGACTAAGTTAATTTATAAATCTCAATTAATGTACTTAATCTATAGTAGAAAAGGAATTTAATCATGTTTTTTAATTAAATTTTTTTAATTAAAACAAAAAATATATAGTCAAATTAATAATGAATTCAAATCTTAATTTATGAATTTTTTGGTCATCTAATTAAATTAGACAACTTTTTTTTTTATATATGCTGATGTAGAGATACCATGAATAATCTTTAAGAGGAGGAGGGTCTGCCTTTTCTTCTTCTAATAATTTCCAAAATATACCTTTGAATGTATAAATAGAAGCTTAATTACATTCAACACTCCTGAATCGTTGGCTTGTTAACCTTAGTAAAAGACTAGAGGAGATTGAACATGTAAAAGAGATTATGAGTACAGAAGAAGGAAAAAGTGTTCTATGTAGAAGCATAGCATGGATTTTAGATCTTGAATAATTATTTTGTTATTTCCAATTTCAAATTGACTTGGTGAAGAGACACAAGTAAATTATTGAAAAAACTTTCTAATATTTCTTAGAATTGGCATCAACCATAATATAATGGGATAGATTGATTGCTTTAAAAATATTAAAAATTTGCAATTCATTCTCCCGATTGATATTCATTTACTACTCTCATTCAAATGAAAGAAGTCAATAATAATAGAAAGATAAATGGTCTTAATTAACTTCCAGTATTATTAATTTGATTAATTTGGACTGTGAAGCATCATTATTTTATAATTGTTTGATTTATGAGTTAACCCTAATCTAAGCCTGTATTGGATATATACCAACTGAAGACGACCCAGATGAAAGAAATACTTCAACTTTTGATATTCTTAAAGAAATTTTTAATTCTGCAGTTAGTTTAATTCCATCACCTGATTTAGTTAGTTCAATTTCAAAAGGGGCTTTGTTTTTATATTAGCAATACTAAAAGAAGAAGTCAATGGAACAATTTCAGAATTGTCTATTTTTAGAACAATTAAAATGGAATATCTTGATGAGTATAAAAGCTGGTGTTATTTTTAATGAAATAGAAGAGAGGATAAGTAATAATTTTAATAAGATTATTAAAAATGGAAGTGATTGGGCAATTTAATATTCTTGGATCAAGATGGCAAGTGAACTTATGGCATGTAAACCTCAAATATCAAAAATCAAGTTTATGAGTTTATAATAAGATTCTACTTAAATAATAACATGGGAATAAGCTTAATCAGATAATTTAATACATATCATTCATAAGGATTTTGAAATAGCAGAAATAATTGCATAAGGATAGACATCAAATATTGGAATTAAATTATAAAGTATTTCAAGATAGTATCAAAATCTTTAAAATTTTTTTATGAATGGAAATCAAATCATTCCTAAATTCATATCATACTATACTTTAGAATCAGGAAAAGATGTATTAAAATTTGATAATGAATCCTATCATGATTATTTTCAAATGATATAATCATTAAGATAAATCCCGTTAGAAAAGATTGCTTTCAATTTTAATGAATTCTTAATCAAATTTTAATCGTTTCTAATTAGTTATTATCAGATAGAACCGAAAAACATAAACTTAAAAGATTTCGAATATCAATTAATATTAGCATAAGAAAATTATCAATCTTTGTTAAACGATATTAATAAATTATAAATTTCTAGAGATTGTTTAAACAATATAATACAAATAATTTCTCCACTTTTAATAAAATCAGACGAACTTATCAAATAATAAGCATCAATCTATCAAAATTGTTTTCAAACATTTCTGTACAATTATTCTAAAATATAAAGTAAGAAATTTTTTGATAACAAAAGAGATATCTATGATTAACTAATAATTTGGCTCCAATAAATTAATTTATGTTAAGAATAGCAAATTCATTACTAAAAGCAATTTGGAAAGAAAATGCCAGATGATTACTTTAATTTGTCTAAAATATAAGAAAAACCTTTCTAAATATAATTGAATTATCTTCTTTTTGCTATCTAATTTTGTTAACAATGGAATCATTAAATTTAGCTACTTACATCTTTATTTACAAAGGAACACATAATGATCAAATAGTAAATTATTATTGCAAAATCAACTTAAGAAGCAGAAATTAAAAAAGGTAATTTAATAGAAGAATTTATTTCAAGGTAGAATACTAATTTTGAATATCTCCATTCTACTTATTCAATTCTTTAAATGTTATATGAATACTTTTATGAACTTAAAACACTACTTTTTGATAAGCTTTCTTTAGAAGAATTTGATAAAATTGTAAAGAAATAAAAAAAGGAATTAGTTCTAAATTTGAAATTTGATTTCAATTTATATTTCTAATACCAAATCAATCAACACCAATAATTTATTCAAAAACTTGATACTGAAAATGAGATTTTATCTAATTAGATAAAGTAATATTAAAATAATAAAAATGGTTAAATGTTAAATTATTTTTGCTAGGTTTTCAATATATCGCTTATAACAATAAATTAAATTCTAAATTTCGATTTTGACTCAGTTAAGAAAATGGAGATGTTAATAGATTTAGTTAACAAAAAGGACAATTAAGTATATTAAAATGTTAGATCAAATTCGCTAGTTCTTTAAACTCAAATTGATTTATTGGTTAAATCAAAAGAAAAGGTTGAATAATCAAATAATGTTGAATATGTGGAAAAGGTAAAGGATTTTGAAAATTCAGTAAAAACTATTTAACAAGAATTACTTTTCATAAATAATAGTGATTGTACTTCATTAGNTAATCAAATTTTAATCGTTTCTAATTAGTTATTATCAGATAGAACCGAAAAACATAAACTTAAAAGATTTCGAATATCAATTAATATTAGCATAAGAAAATTATCAATCTTTGTTAAACGATATTAATAAATTATAAATTTCTAGAGATTGTTTAAACAATATAATACAAATAATTTCTCCACTTTTAATAAAATCAGACGAACTTATCAAATAATAAGCATCAATCTATCAAAATTGTTTTCAAACATTTCTGTACAATTATTCTAAAATATAAAGTAAGAAATTTTTTGATAACAAAAGAGATATCTATGATTAACTAATAATTTGGCTCCAATAAATTAATTTATGTTAAGAATAGCAAATTCATTACTAAAAGCAATTTGGAAAGAAAATGCCAGATGATTACTTTAATTTGTCTAAAATATAAGAAAAACCTTTCTAAATATAATTGAATTATCTTCTTTTTGCTATCTAATTTTGTTAACAATGGAATCATTAAATTTAGCTACTTACATCTTTATTTACAAAGGAACACATAATGATCAAATAGTAAATTATTATTGCAAAATCAACTTAAGAAGCAGAAATTAAAAAAGGTAATTTAATAGAAGAATTTATTTCAAGGTAGAATACTAATTTTGAATATCTCCATTCTACTTATTCAATTCTTTAAATGTTATATGAATACTTTTATGAACTTAAAACACTACTTTTTGATAAGCTTTCTTTAGAAGAATTTGATAAAATTGTAAAGAAATAAAAAAAGGAATTAGTTCTAAATTTGAAATTTGATTTCAATTTATATTTCTAATACCAAATCAATCAACACCAATAATTTATTCAAAAACTTGATACTGAAAATGAGATTTTATCTAATTAGATAAAGTAATATTAAAATAATAAAAATGGTTAAATGTTAAATTATTTTTGCTAGGTTTTCAATATATCGCTTATAACAATAAATTAAATTCTAAATTTCGATTTTGACTCAGTTAAGAAAATGGAGATGTTAATAGATTTAGTTAACAAAAAGGACAATTAAGTATATTAAAATGTTAGATCAAATTCGCTAGTTCTTTAAACTCAAATTGATTTATTGGTTAAATCAAAAGAAAAGGTTGAATAATCAAATAATGTTGAATATGTGGAAAAGGTAAAGGATTTTGAAAATTCAGTAAAAACTATTTAACAAGAATTACTTTTCATAAATAATAGTGATTGTACTTCATTAGTTAATGAATTAAATAAATTTAACGAGTTCTTAGTGCATGCTCGAACAAGATAAAAACATTAATTGGATTCAACCATCAATGCTCTAAAAAAATGTACTTTAGATTTTATTGATAAAATTGTAAACTTATATAAAAATGTAAAACAATCATTGAAAAAAGAAATTATTACTGAAATGTGTGAAAGTATAGATGAAAGAAAGCCTATTAAAGCCAATTTGTAAGAATTGACCAATAATTTTAAAGATTAAATTATGCAAGCATAATAATCAATTGAATTTTCTGAAATTGACACATTGTAAAATTTAGTAGATTTAATGAAATTTTCAGACTAAAATGCTATTATTTGTCATCAATGTGAAGATTAAATTTCTAAACTTTTATAAAAGTTTTAATTATTGATAAAAAATTTAAAAAGCCTTAATTATGAATCTTTTTGTAAAAGTTATGCTGATAAATTATATTTTATTTGTTAAAATTAAAAGGAATTAGATAGATTTCTTAAAGATCAACTGAATTTCATATTTTCACCATTTTAGAATTAAGTTCCAAATAATCTAAAATAATGTAAATAAAGTATAGCTGCCTCTATACTAAATTATATTGAAGGTAATTAGTGGAGAGTAAAAGAAGGATTTGTATTTTAGTGTATTTAATTAGAAAACCAATTACATGAATAAAATAAATAATCAATATAAAAAGTTTTAATTCTTATTGCTGTTAAGGAAACTAATTTGAAAATATTAGTGACACTTAAAAACAAATAAATAGTATAGTAAATGTATCAAGGATTTTCTTAGAATTGGCCTGAACTACAAAGCCAGATTTAATAAGATTTAGTAAACTAAATAAATAAATTGGAAGAACTTTAATATAATATTTCTGGTGCTGAAACTGATAGAAAGAGAGAATTACTACTTTAAGAACATAAACAATTGGAAGAACAATTAGAATAATAAATACTGAATGTTAATTAAATTGGTGATGCATTAGGTATAACGATAACTTTCTTAAGAGAAATACGATAAGATTTAAAAAAAATTCAATATAAATTAGATAAATTGCTTAATAAAATTGATGAAATAGTTTAAGATCTTAAATAGTTGATTGGTAAAACTCCTAAATAGTTATTAGAAATAAGGATGTAATCCATTTTACAATAAAAAGTTATTAACGATTTTAATAATGTTTATGTAATACTAAGAAATAAGGAATTGAAGGAAAACTTTAAAGATGAAGATGATGAAACAACTCTTTTTAATGATATTTATTAGACTTAAGGTGAAATTGATGAATTTTTACAATAACCTAAAGACTCTCTACTGATTCACGGACCAGCTGGATCAGGCAAAAGTGCTGCTGCTAAAAAAATAGAAGAATATCTTTGGCTCAAATATTAATAGTTGAATTTAGATGAATGGTCTAAAGATTTAGAACAGATACCAGTCGTTCCAATTTTCATTCAATTAGCCAGTTTAAAAGATCCTTATGAAAAAGCAGTTGAGGAAACTTTATCTTCAAATATTTATAATTTTGATTGGAAATAAATACAGGCATTCTAAGCTTAAGTTGAAGAAGGGAAAGTAGCTGTTATTTTTATTCTTGATAGCTTTGATGAATTGAGTAATAATTAAATCAATCTAATTTAACATAATAAGTTGAAAAATTGGAAATAGTAGTTGTTAAATTTAAGCGAATTAACTTAGAGTCAATAAAGAATATATAATCTAAATTATCCAAAAATTATTACCACAACTAGATCAGAAGCGTTTGAATTAAATAGCACAAATTATAGATAATGGTTTAGTAGTGAGGCAGTGTTAGATTTTACAAAATACAAAGAATTAAGAATTCTCAGTTTTGATGATAAATAAAAGTAAGAATACTTAAAATAATATTCATATACTTAAATTAAAAAAACTTTGTTTGATTTTTTTGAGAAGTACTCTCTTTTCTAAAAAAGAGGAAGAAATCTTATAAGCGAAGTAGAGAAAATATGGAATATTATAGAAGAAAAATTGGAACGATTTAACCATTAAGAATAATCAAATAATATATGTTTAAGCGATAAAGAAATCAATATTATAATTTCAGTATTACAAACTGAATTCTAATTGTAAAATAAATAAGATCAATTTTCAAATTTAGAAAGATAGCTGATGCATATTTAAACACCTTAATTCTACAATAATAATATAATTGATTTTAATTTGGAATAACTTCTTAAAACACCATTTATGATGAAAATATTCATAGATGTATTACCATAAATCAATTGTTAAAAATAAGAGATACATCAAGAGTATTTTATCACTAGTTATAAACTTTAAATGTATGAAAAATATGTAAAAAAACAGGATATCAAAGCTATAAGAAACTTTTTAGAGGGGATTTCCCAAAAATAATGGAATGAAGATTAATAAGATGAATAAAATAATTAATAACATATACCATAATAACCAGAAGGACTAGAATAAATAGGAGAACCGAAATATCAACCTGAAATTCCTGAAGATCCACCTAAACTTTCATCTGAAGATTCACCTGGATATCCACATTAAGATTCATTTCAAATACCAGAAACACCAGTAACACCAGAAACACCAGAAACACCAGTAACACCAGAAACACCTTATATACTAGGAATACAAAAAATGCTAGAAATACCAGAATAGCCAGAAATAAATGAATTCTCATAGTCTGATAAAGAGATTAATGAACCTTCTCAATTATAGATGGAGAGAAGATTATAACAAATCAAAAAGCTCTCAACAAAATAAAAAATGAATTAATCGTAACCTGTCTAAAAAAAGTTATTTTTTTAAAAGTTATTTGGTCATGAAGATTCAAATAAACAAAATCAAAATTAAAATGAATAAGCTAAATCCTCTAAGTCATAAAATGATAATACACGATAAAGTGATGAAAAAAATTATTATAGAGAGCCTGATGATAAATGTTAAAATAATCATGAATAAATGAGATAATCAAGGCCTATAAATATTCGTTCTCAATATAGAGAAGAGAAATACTATTAGAAAAGCAAATAATCTACTAATTATGAATAATTCTAAGAATTTATTCCTTAAACCATCCATCCACCTGCCTCATAAGCTATATAGTAATAATCATATGATACCTCTGCTCCTAGTAAAAAATCATATAATGATTAACCTCACATTCCGTATTTAAATTAAACCTAAATAAATCTCAAGTTAGAAGAAGAAAGGCTCAATTTATAAACTAAAATTAAGGAGCATCTAACAGAATAAGGAAAAAAAATTTTTTAAAATATTTCATAAATATCTTAACAGGATTAGGATTAACTTGGAGATGATAAATAGATATTGCTAAGATGTTATAAGTCTTTTAAATTAACATAGTATGATTTTTATTAATACTTTTTGGAGAATTATATTTAAAACTAAATAAAAAAATTGTTGACAATTCAGCATCAAAATTTTAATCATAATTTCATAAGTGAAGTTATTGAATATGCTAGGTTATTAGCATAATATTTAATGAAACATTAATTAACAACAATTGATACATAGAAAGTTTGTAATTAATAAAGGGTATTTAAAGATAAAAAAATCATATAACATTCTGATGATCCTATATATCAAGAATTGATTAATTACAATTCAGAAGAAATAGCCATAATTATAAAATGTCTTCCTTTGAAACTTACTGGTACTATTTTGAGTTTCCAGCATAAATCGATTTAAGAATTTATATATGCAAAATTTATCATAACTAATCTTCTTGCAATAAGTTCTATCATTAATTAATACAAATAATTGTAAGCAAAAATTTCATTATAAAATTTTAAGATTAACATGAATAGTTAAAAGTTGAAGAAAAATTAATTCATTTTAATTTGCATTTAAATTTATTTATTTAATAATTTGGATTAAACATCTAATAAAGATAGAGCAAGAGATATATTTATTGATTAATTTAATCGCACGTTTTGGCATTAATATTAAGAGAGTTAAAATATTTATCAATCTACTTATGATTTATTGAGTTCAATTGATATTTCACCATTAAATAGTGTTATTATGGCAAATTAATTTTACATGGGGACAATAAGATTTATAAAAGAATATATAGAAAATAAGTAAGATTTAAAATCAGTATTACATTTTTTAGTTTTAATTTCATAAATATCATCGAAGTTTATCAATATTAGTTCAAATTCGATTTAATTATTAACATATATGTAGGAATTATTTTATGAAAAAAGTTTCTTTGGAATTTAGATAAAAGATGTTAAGTTATTAGGATTTAAGTGTATTGGGTGTGATTTTACGAAGTCAAAATTAGAGAATGTTACTTTGGTGGGGACTAACTTAAATTATTGCAAAATTGCAGAAGTAGAGTGGAAGAACATAATCTCCTAGGATTTACCAACATTATCATTTAATATTGGTCCTATAATAAAAGCATCATTCTCTTTTGATGGTTAATACATAGCATCCCTTGGACTTTAACAAAATTTAGTAATATATTAGATATCTACTGGATTGATTTTAAAAAATATTCAACTTAAAAAAGCAGTTTAAGATTTTTGTTGGTCGAACACAAAATCCACGCTTGTCTATTTCTATGAGGAAACTTTGAATATTCTGAGCTTTTATGAGGATTAAAAATAAAATGATGTAAATATGGTTTAAAGCAATGAAATTGAAGTAAATTAATAACACATTAAATTTAAATTTAAAATAAATGACACTGTTGTTTTGATAAAATTTTCAAATTCAGATAGCTATTTATTAGTTGGATGCTAAAAAGGGAAAATAATCATCTATAAATTTTTGAATTAATAATTTACTTTATTTTCTGAAATACAAAGAAAGAGTAGAATAACATTTGATTTGTATTCGGATGAAAATAGTTTGATAGCTTGTGACTAAAATTAAATATTTCTTGTTAAGATTTAAGAAGGGCATTCTAAAACTATTAGAACATTAACATAAGATTATTAAGTAACAAGAATCGTTTTCAGCTCTGATGGCAAACTATTTGCTTATGCTACAACAGATGGAGTGATTATAGTATATAGTTTAATCACATAAAAAGATAAGGCAAAATTAATTGGTCACAAAAATGCTGTAAGATGTGTTTGTTTTTCTAGTGAGGGCAATATATTAGTGAGTGGAGGAGATGATAAAAGTATTAGAATATGGGATTATATGAAAGGTATATAAATTGGTGAGAATTTACACGGCCACTTTGATGTGATTAATAGCATTGAATTTTCAAAACCAGATGGAACAATTATTTTATCTGCAGGAAATGATGGACTTATAAAGTAATGGAATCATTCTGATAATTATCATGTTAGTGAATATCTACCTGGTCATGAAGGCAGCATTTTATTTATGGTTCTATCTTAAGATTCTCATAGAATAATAACAAAAGGCAAAGATAAGAAAATAATATAATGGAATATTGAAACAGCATCTGTTGTAAATTAAATGATATCTTTATAAAGTTGCCAAGAATGCTCAATTAATAAATTATGTTCTTCTTGTTAATTAAGTCCAATCATTATTGTTAATGATGACCAACATATAATCACAGGTGGATTTGGTCATTCAATTTCAATTTTTGACATTTACACTGGCAATTAAACTAATTTTACAATCTCATACCTAAAACCTAAAGGGGAAGTTATTATTTTAACATAATCTGAAAAATATCATTTGATATGTTCAGGAACTATGAATGGTGAAATTAAAATATGGGATAGTTTTAATGGAAGATAATTTAGTAACAAAATTACTCTAAATTACTAAATATTGACTTTTTTTTTTGATCTAGAATAAAATTTGATAGTTTTAAATTAATGTGGAAAATACACTAAATTTTAACTTGATTTGAGTGGTACAATAGCTTAGGCTTGCTAATGCGAATTAATTTGTGAAGCATCTGAAATGAAATAGATTAATCAAATAATTGCTGAGGAAATTGCTGAAATTTAAATTGATTTACAAAAATAGAATTTTTAAGAAAAATTTAATAAAAGGGTAACATGCTTAGCATTAACATTTGATTACTCATACTTGGCAATCGCAACTAAAGACTCAAATGTCTATATTCTAGAAACTGCAGATTTATCAGAGATATTTCAAAAATATTCTTATTAAGGAGTAATTACTTCAATGTATTTTAATAAAAATGGATTAGTTTTAATATTATCTTTTGAAGATCTTTCCATAAAAGGAGAGCAGAAGAGAACTATCATAATTTATCTGAACTACGAAGAGTTGAGATGAGTGCTACATTAAGAGCATAAAAAACCTTAAAAGATGAAATCACCAAGGCAGGAGAGGAAATCAAATAATTATTAAAAGAGAGTGATTAACAAATTTAAACAATCAATTAAAGGATGATCGAGAAAGCTAGGTGCTGTTTTATGGCAGCAGATTAACTATCAGAAATATTTACAAAAAAATTTAGAGAACTTTAAGAATTAAAAAAGACATTAACTGATCAATATGAAACAAGAATTTAAGAAAAATAATAAAATTCAGAAATTAAAGTTAATTCATAAAATTAAATTACCATAACTGAAATATTTTGTCTTAGTAAAACTCCATAAAATTCAAAATTTATAGGAACAATTTTTACAAATTCCTATATTAAAAATAAGACAAACCATAATTTGTTCAAACTTTGGTAATAGTCACAAGAAAATTGTGATAAACATTGAATAGCATTAAAAAAATATAAATTATTGATATTAATTATAATTTCTTGAATAATATCTTTAATATTGATTGTTTGATTTAGCCATATATTTTATTTTCGAACTGAAATTTATTTAGATTTTCTTAATTTCAAAGGATTGAATATTTTATTAAACTATTAAAATCCAAATTCTTCAGAAAAATAAATTTATTTTGTTGTTAGCTGCATATAATAGATGATGTTAACCTAATCCTTTCATATTTGATTTACCAAAGTTCTCGCTAAAAATATGAATTCGCTTTTAATTGGCATATAATATGATGAGGTATTGAAATAATTGTTTTTTTACATCATATTGTTAACATTTAATATTGTTTTGCAAGAGCTATTGATAAAAAAGCAAAGGAAGAAATTTANGGTGAAATTAAAATATGGGATAGTTTTAATGGAAGATAATTTAGTAACAAAATTACTCTAAATTACTAAATATTGACTTTTTTTTTTGATCTAGAATAAAATTTGATAGTTTTAAATTAATGTGGAAAATACACTAAATTTTAACTTGATTTGAGTGGTACAATAGCTTAGGCTTGCTAATGCGAATTAATTTGTGAAGCATCTGAAATGAAATAGATTAATCAAATAATTGCTGAGGAAATTGCTGAAATTTAAATTGATTTACAAAAATAGAATTTTTAAGAAAAATTTAATAAAAGGGTAACATGCTTAGCATTAACATTTGATTACTCATACTTGGCAATCGCAACTAAAGACTCAAATGTCTATATTCTAGAAACTGCAGATTTATCAGAGATATTTCAAAAATATTCTTATTAAGGAGTAATTACTTCAATGTATTTTAATAAAAATGGATTAGTTTTAATATTATCTTTTGAAGATCTTTCCATAAAAGGAGAGCAGAAGAGAACTATCATAATTTATCTGAACTACGAAGAGTTGAGATGAGTGCTACATTAAGAGCATAAAAAACCTTAAAAGATGAAATCACCAAGGCAGGAGAGGAAATCAAATAATTATTAAAAGAGAGTGATTAACAAATTTAAACAATCAATTAAAGGATGATCGAGAAAGCTAGGTGCTGTTTTATGGCAGCAGATTAACTATCAGAAATATTTACAAAAAAATTTAGAGAACTTTAAGAATTAAAAAAGACATTAACTGATCAATATGAAACAAGAATTTAAGAAAAATAATAAAATTCAGAAATTAAAGTTAATTCATAAAATTAAATTACCATAACTGAAATATTTTGTCTTAGTAAAACTCCATAAAATTCAAAATTTATAGGAACAATTTTTACAAATTCCTATATTAAAAATAAGACAAACCATAATTTGTTCAAACTTTGGTAATAGTCACAAGAAAATTGTGATAAACATTGAATAGCATTAAAAAAATATAAATTATTGATATTAATTATAATTTCTTGAATAATATCTTTAATATTGATTGTTTGATTTAGCCATATATTTTATTTTCGAACTGAAATTTATTTAGATTTTCTTAATTTCAAAGGATTGAATATTTTATTAAACTATTAAAATCCAAATTCTTCAGAAAAATAAATTTATTTTGTTGTTAGCTGCATATAATAGATGATGTTAACCTAATCCTTTCATATTTGATTTACCAAAGTTCTCGCTAAAAATATGAATTCGCTTTTAATTGGCATATAATATGATGAGGTATTGAAATAATTGTTTTTTTACATCATATTGTTAACATTTAATATTGTTTTGCAAGAGCTATTGATAAAAAAGCAAAGGAAGAAATTTATTTTTTGGACAGGTTAGTATTGTTACCACATTAAGTTAGAAATTAGAAGAGATTCAGCATTCAGGTCTTTCACCAATATAATTAAAATTTAACCCTTTTCTAATTCAAGGTTAATACCTACTTACTTACCTTAATTCAATTAAGTGAGCAGTATTTATTAAGGATGATTGATTAAATCAACTATTCTGAAAATTTGAGTTATGAATATAAAGAAACAATAGTAAAATTACTATTACCATTAAGCATAGATTAGCATCTTTAAATACAGATCTTAACATAAATAGTGTCTTAATTATAACTAATTCATTTAATTTAGAAGATTATAAATTTAAAAGAGATGAATTACTAATGGTAAAAGTAAATAAAAAAAAATTGTAAATTTCAACATTTCCAAATATTTAGATTAATGTATTTTAAAGATTGCATAATTCTAAGCAAAATCAATTTATTATCTACTAAACTATTATTATTTTAATTGATGAGCATCTAAAATTCATCTGTGTAGAAAGATGTTATCACGATTTAAGAAATTTGAATTTCTATAATTATCAGAAAAATAGAATTTATTGTAATATCATTAATGTACTTCTACAGAAACACATAAATTAAGAACGTAGTTATCAAAATGTGTTAAAATGTATGTTTATTTAATGATACATTACAATTTAAAGTAAAGTTTATTCTAAATTAATGTTTTTCTCTTAGATCAAACATTAACATTATCCAGGTAAGCTGCAACCGGGATGAGATTGTCCCTATTTGTCTCAGCAATGCTGTGATCAGCTAAACTTTTTATAGTGACAAATTAAATTAATTTGTCTTTTCAAGTTGGAAAGAAATTCTTTACATTTTATAATTTATGATATAACAATAATTAGATTAAATTAAGAGAAACATTTTGATTGTTCTAAATAAACCAAAAATATATGTACAGTTAGTTCTGATTTAACAAAATTTATTGATAGATCGAATTGCACTTAATAGGAGAAAAAGGCCTAATTTAAAAAATGTAAAATGGTCTCAAAGATGTGTTGGCTAGGATTACAATAAATGTATTAATAATGTGTTTAGTAAAAGATAAAAATTAAAATTATTTGGCTTAATTAAAAAAACTATCATGGAAATTTAGTGACTTTTCGGGTTAATTTTTGAAAGATTAAGGTTAAAGCAAATGAATTCAGAACTTCTATAGAAGAAACACTTATTATAATAGATTTTAGTTCTAATGGATCAAAAATTGCTTTATTAAGCAATTCCAATATGTAGTTTTGCGATTCTTGATATACAATATTGTCATTCAATTCTAACTAAAATTTAGAAGAAAGTATAATCCACAACTAATTACAATATAGTGAATATATAGCGCATAATTAATAAAATCGATCTCATATAATCAGATAAACAAATTTAAATCATAGTTCAGTCTTTGTTATTTAAAATCTTTATAAGCTGGCTTTTTCTATTGATTATGTTAATCTTTTTTTTATTTAATAATGAGTTTCATCATGACAAAAAGTTCTCAAGATTATGAAATAAAAATTTAAATTGCTATATCAAGTTGGTGTTCTTAAAAAGGTAATAAGCAAAGATTACATCAAACCAAAAATTTGTTAATAAGTATTTTAACTGAACCAAAGTTAAAGACACCAACCTTTTAGCAATTTTTTTTTAAAATCCAAAAATACATTATCTCGAAATGTTACTGGTTTCTAATTTTATGGGGCAAAAAATACCTGCGAAGAATCTATTGAATCTCTTTGTATATGGTCCAAAAAAATGAAGGGGATTATTATTATTTTAACAGTGATTGCAAAGCTACTTCTGCTCTAAAATAATCTAATAAACTATAAAGAATCAATAAAGTTGCTAAAAGAATTTGACTTGTAATTGATTAAAATAAGTTTTGATTATTATTATTTGTTTATTATTTTAGGGTTTTTTAGGTTTTTAAATTAATAATGTTATTTTATTTTTTGTTTTTTTTTGGAATATTTTGCTTTTTTAAAGTTGAATTTTAATTAATTTTGAAGTTTTATGATGATTTAAAATTCTTTTTATGAATTTTTGGACATTTTAAATACAATCTAATTATAATTAGGTAATCATTTTTATAT